TTGAGCTAATATTTCCTTGTAAACTTGCCCTAATATTTCCCTTGTAAATGTGTCCTAATATTTCCTTGTAAACATGAGCTTATATTTCCTTGTAAACGTGCCTTAATATTTCCTTATAAACGTGCCTTAATATTTCCTTGTAAACGTGCCTCAATATTCCTTGTAAACGTGAGCTAATATTTCCTTGTAAACTTGCCCAAATATTTCCCTTGTAAATGTGTCCTAATATTTCCTTGTAAACGTGAGCTTATATTTCCTTGTAAACGTGCCTTAATATTTCCTTGTAAACGTGCCTTAATATTTCCTTGTAAACCTGCCTCAATATTCCTTGTAAACGTGTCCTAATATTTCCTTGTAAACGTGCCCTAATATTTCTTTTGCCACAAACCCTGATTTTCTAATACCTCTTTACAATCCAATGTCATAGATCTTAGGTCTACACCTTCAGGTTGCAAAGATTTGGGCATCGGTTTATTTTAGTTTTTAGCAAGCACTCAGTTCCTTTTCCTTGTTTCAAAATGAAATTTGAAAACATGTTGATTTGGATAGAATTTAAATTCCTAGGTATATACATAGTGCATTTACATATTCATATTCATTTTCATGCTCAGAATTAATTTGAAGTGAATTTTTTATCTCGAAATTTTCGCATTATTTCCCCGCGAAATGTTCGTATTGTTTTTTTTTCGCGAAATTTTTCGCATTTCTTATTTTAAGTAAATTTTGCATTATTTCGAGAAACAGATTAAAGCGAAATTTTGCGAAAAATGCTAAACGATTTTACTTTTTCGCTGGAAACCCTAACAATGGCGGATCAAAACAAATGCGTATCAAGTAAAACCATGACGCAATTAATTAAACAGTATTCAGTTTCTTTGGTATTTAATTTCCAAGAAAATATTGCCTAATGCAGAACTAGATTGTAATGTGATCCATGTTCTATACATTACAGGGTTTTACTAGAGTTTTCACGTCACATTTGCAATTCCTTGTTTTAGGCAAGAAACAGAAATTTTTGCACAAAAGTAAAACTTTATGCAAATCCGCACTTATTCAGAGTAAAGGACAAGTTTAAATACTTTTAGGATAAATGGATAAATAGTCAGATAGAAAGATAGACAAAAAGACAGATAGACAGATAGCCATTTAGACATATAGACAGATAGACATATAGACAGATAGACATATTAACAGTTAGACAGATAGACAGATAGACAGATAGACAGATAGACAGATAGACAGATAGACAGATAGACTGATAAACAGATAGACAGATAGACAGATAGACAGGTAGACAGATTGACAGATAGACAGATAGACAGATAGACAGATAGACTGATAAACAGATAATGTTATCATGTTTACAATATAAATCATTGGATAGCGCTACTGGGAATGTAAAACTGCAAAACAACACAAACAAATATCTACAATGTGCACTGATGCAGTTACATCATATTTAACATTATGACATATTTTTTTATATAACACTATAGTTCCTGCTCATCATATTTGCAAGCCTTCCCCTTTTCGTAAATTTTAAATTCACAAATAATAAAACTTTGTTTTTGTTTTCATTTATAGCGGATCTTCAAATAAAAAACTAAATTTCAAATAATTTTGGCCCAATTTCGTTTCAGCTGTTTCGACGTCTATTGCATTTAGCTGCATATTTTCCAAAAAATGCCAGCTCTTCATAAAAAGAAGTTGTCTATGTTAGACTAAAATGACATAAATTTCAGTTTAATATTCTGTAGCGAAGGCCAAATTTTACTACATAATTTGTGAAAAAAAAAAATTTATTTTGTTAATATTAAAATCCCCTTACAAGAATTTAATAATAAAAATATAATAGGCTTTTGTTTTTGAATTATGCGTATTATCTTCCGTTGACCTTGAAAATTTTGTTGGAAAATAAAAGATGGCGGCCATAAAAAACGTAATCTGATTGTGAAATGCACTTCTCTACCCCTCATGTATTCTCTATGGGTTTAGATATTTACAAATATCCAGAGAAAATCTAGAACATAAATTTTTCAAACTTTGTTATTAGAGCGCTTCGCGACCATCTGTTGTCTTAACTTGATATTGATAATCTATAAGCATTTTTTTTTTCGAGAAAACAATGTTAAAAATTTAGCGGATTTGAAATTTTTGAGACAAATTTTTGTAATTCAGAATCCATAAACCTCCCCTGGAATCAATTGAGCATGTAAGGTCAAACACAAAATGTTGGTCCGATCGGTCCAGCCGTTTTGACACTATAACATGTAAACAGAGACCCAGAGAAGCAAAGTTTATGTATATAATATAGATATATAAAATCAAGGTTATAATGCAAGGAAAGTTAATTGCAGCTGCGTATACTCTGCGTAAATATTTAACCCCAGTTCTCTCTGGGCGGAATTTGTAAACAAGAATAGATGCATCAGTGTTCGTTTAGTATCCGAGGAGGTTAAAAGCATTAAATTTTGATAATTTTCCTACGACCAGAATATTTCATTAATTTTTTATGTGAAAGATGGAACCCATGTCAGGCTGTAACATCCGTGTATTGTGTTTACATTACCGCCCAGAGACAGTGCACTGCAGAACATATGATGCGTACACTTCTGAAATAACTTTCCTTGCATTATAACCTTGTATAAAATAATCTTTTTCTTTCATGTGAACGTGTCGTGTCTAATTTTCAAATGTAATCTCTTATTTTTGGAATTGATAATTTTAACCTTTAATGTTTAAAACTGTTACTGGTTGGTTTGAAAGTATAAAGTATAAAATATCTTTAAATTCTCTTTAAACCCAAGACACTTGAAAGACAATTTCTGAAAGGGAGTGTTCGCGAAAAATGAAATGTGGTAGAGGCTTACGGCGAAAAGTAAGTGCTTTTGATCAATTCTAATCTGTTGCGTCTATAAGGAGAAAATTGTTAAATATCAAAGAACGTAGAGTCCATACAAATTCAGAAAGTTGCAACATTCAACTCAGATCGTAAAATAATCAATTTAATTCTAACAAATCATTCAGATATTACAAACAATAGTTATCGATTATTCTTCGACGCATTCGTATTTAGTTATTATTTTATAATAGTTTTGATTCTGCTATTTTAAATAATATTTTGCTGGTGCTGGATTTTCGAACATTCCTGGAAAATATGAAAATGTCGTCTCCATTATCACAAATCCTCGCAACAGGACTAAATTTTTTCAGATCATAAAAAATAAAAAAAACATTATGAAATAACAACCAGATACGAATGCGTCGAGAAATTATCGATGATTATTGTTTGTAATATGTGAATGATTTGTTTGAAATTAAATTGATTTTTTTACGATCTGAGTTAAATGTTGCAACTATCTGAATTTGTATGGACTCTACGTTCATCGGTATAAGTCGTTAAATTAACAATTTTCTCCTTATAGAAGCAACAAATAGAAGTAAGATTAGTAGCGATCAATAGCGCTTACTTTTCGCCGTTAGCCTATATCCCCTTTAATTTTTCGCTAACACTCTCTTTAAGTCCACAACATTGGGTTGCAAAGATATTAGGATTGGAAAAATAGAGAATGATATCAATATAGATAATGTTGTTTTCTAGGTTTAAAAATTTTAAATCTGAAGAAGTCAATTTTGCAGCGAAGTCATAATTAAAATAATCTTTTTTTAAATTAGAAACATCTTATTCATATATGATCGGACAGCGTGTTTAAGGGTACTCTTGTGAATCACTGTTGCATGTAGGGTCACTTAAAATTACGCTTACAGTCCCTTTAGTCAAATAATGTTGAGGCCTATCCGGGTAAAAGGTTATATCTCCCGCGAGACCAACTGGAGGCCAAAACTCATCATTTATTTACGAAGAAAAAACTAAATATATTCAGATTTAAAACAAACAACTTTGCTCTTGTTTATTCTGATGCATTCAGAACATTATTACGAAGATTTTTAAAAGAAGTATCGTGGCTTTAAAATATTTGAAACTTGCTTAGGAACCCAGTGTCCGAATTTAATGAATTTGAACCGCGTCCTAAATCTGCCAAAAACCGGTTTCAATTGAGCGATGGCTTAAATCTTGAAACAATTAATACACTTTTAAGTGAAACCAACCATATTTGAGCCGCGACTTAAATTTAAACCTCGGCTCAAATTCTTTAAATTCGGCCTCTGGTTTGTCTAGACATGTATGATCGGACATAAAAACAAACAATTAAATAAACAAATAAACATAGATTACTACTTCATGCATATATATATATTTGTTAACATATGAAATTAAATTAAAGTAAAACATGAATAGAAATTATCAAATTTAAAATCTTCTCAGTCTTTTTGCTGGTAACCAGCTGTACTTTTCTATTACATAAAAATTAAATTATTTAAACTATTTACAAATGTCTGAAACTATATAATCACTCTGGGCCGTAGTAAATTTTAATTCGAACAGGACGTGCCCAGTTTGTACTGGCCTGCCAGATAACAGCGTGTACTGACCCGATCCTATGGTACAGTACGTCGCCCTAACCAGACTAACATACGACAGGGCTCAATTTTCTTGGCATAGTCCCATGGGAGGTCTAACTATGACAACTCCCATGGTGCGTTCAGACTTTTTACAGTACCCGGCCTAATCCTAGGCCTATTTGACCAACCACACTGGCTTAGTCCACCGTGTAACGATAATATTACAATTTAGGTTTTTTATTATTTGAGATTTTATGTTAATGCATTAGGGATTCCAAAACAATGACAAATTTTTTAACATTTTAAAAAAAGTTTGAGAAAATATTAACAACATTTTGAAAATACCTCTGAAATACAAAAATGTTAAGCAAACTTTTAAGCAGCAATTTGAACACATTTTTGAACAAATTTTGTAATCAAAATAGTTGAAAATAAATAATAAGCAAACTTTTGGCAAAAATTCCGAACAAAATTCGAGAAAAAAATAGAATTTGTTTCACAAAAATCTTAAATAATTAAGAAATAATTTTGTTTAGACTTGTGAGTGAGGTGTTCAAGATATTTGGCTCTGAAGTTCTGGGATACTCACTTTCCCTTACTTTTAACAGGAAGGATACTTTAAAAAAATGTTCTTATTTTCAATTTATTGGTTAAACCTACAAACCTCTGCGTAATTGTCTGCGCTGTACTGAAATTTGAACCCAAACAGATTGTCGAGTACAATAGATGGCAACGTAGATTTTGTACACTCTCAGTAAACTGTATTTCTACGCCACAAGTGTCATCTCAGTTTTTGTGTCCGACAAAATTATTGATAATAATGATAATTTTAGAAAAAAGTGCAATAAGTCCAATTATATTTGTTCTTTATTTTCTGTTTTTACACTTTTTATTGAATCTTGGAAAACATGTCAATTATTGTGAGAAAATTTTGTTTTCCTTGTTATATTTGACACTTGTGTAGTTGTGTATTATTGGTCCATTTCTCTGTTGCCACCTATTGTACTTGATGGTCTATTTGTTTAAACCCAACTTTTTAATAAAAACACTTCAAGACATTTGTTTGAATTTTGCAGTACGCTGTTTTTCTAAAGGGGACCTTTGTCGTAATGTAAACATTGATAAAAATGGGCCATTCAGGGGCAATTCAGAAAGTACCTTAACAAGGGGAGTTGTTGCTCAGGGGCCAATATTTGTATTTTTTAAATTTTGTTTCATTTTCACCTTTTTTACTTGCTAAGAAAATTGAATGGTTTTCATGCTTTATTTTCCCTTATGTTCCACCGAAAGGATACTTAAAGATTTTTTTTTAGGAAATGCATGCAAAGGAATTGAGTCTTTTTCACAAACCGTTATTTTTCTAAACCTTACATCTTTGCCACCCAATGTTGTAGACCTTGGATATTTCAAACTATGAGTTCTGTTAGTTCAAATATTCCAAGTTAGATTAGCAAGTACAATAGGTGGCAACAGAAAAATGGAAAAACTATGCACGACGTCACAAGTGTCAAATATAACAAGGGAAACGAAATTTTCTCACATTAGTTGACATGTTTTCCAAGATTAAATAAAAAAGCACAAAAACAGAAAATAAAGAACTCACATATTTGCACCTTTTTTACTGTAAGATAAGCTTTTTATTCTAAAATTATCATTATTATTAATAATTTTGTCGGACGCGAAAACTGAGTTGACATTTGTTACGTAAAAGTACAACTGTACTGTTAGTGTACACATTCTACGTTGCCATCTATTGTAATAGAATCTAATTGCAAGTTTGAAATATTAGAATATCAGGGTGTGGAAAATATATCGTAAAATTGACATAATTTTTATCATTGGAAAAATTAAATCTTGAATTTTTAGCTTTTGCGAATTTTCATTTTGAAGAAGAAGTCTCCATTCAATAGTTTAATAGTATATCCTCTTATCCAGAAACCATTCGACCATCCTGGATCCGGATACACAGTTCTCTAAAATATCAAGCTGTCAACACCAGTTGTAAGTATTTAGAATTTTAAAGGGACTGCTTATTTGTAAATATTTAAATATTAAAGGGATTATTCAGTTGTAAATATTTAGAATATTAAAGGGATTGTTCAGTTGTAAATATTTAGAATATTAAAGGGATTGTTCAGTTGTAAATATTTAGAATATTAAAGGGATTCTTCAGTTGTAAGTATTTAGAATATTAAAGGGATTGTTCAGTTGTAAATATTTAGAATATTAAAGGGATTGTTCAGTTGTAAATATTCAGAGCTTTAAAGGGATTGTTCAGTTGTAAATATTTAGAATATTAAAGGGATTGTTCAGTTGTAAATATTTAGAATATTAAAGGGATTGTTCAGTTGTAAATATTTAGAATATTAAAGGGATTCTTCAGTTGTAAGTATTTAGAATATTAAAGGGATTGTTCAGTTGTAAATAATTGGAATATTAAAGGGATTGTTCAGTTGTAAATATTCAGAGCTTTAAAGGGACCGTTTACTTTAAATATTTAGAACGTAAACCATTAGAACTTTATCGGATTTTTAAAAATATTTTTTTCTCAAAATCAAGTTTTGTATTGAACAAGAAAAATATATAAGAACCAATTGTGCATTCAAATATGTTCTGCAATTTCTGGGAGAAATGCATACAACCTCAGCTTTTTATCTGCAGTACACTTTGCATGTAAACAAATATTGAGCCTCCTGAAATGTATTCCCCTTTTTTTTTAAATATTTTCAAATTTTCAAAAAAAAGAAAAAATTATTTAATGTTAAAAAATATAGAACAGTTAAAACATATCTAATATCAACCTGGTAGTAATTATTGCATAATTGTATAAAAACACTTTTAGTCAACAATCTAGAATCTGTATTTTGTGTTTCATAGTTTTATCTATCTATTTATATATATATTTATTTGTCTATCCAATATCTATATATCTTCTTATAATATTCTAATTTCTTTATCTTTATCTATGTTTCTGTGCATTAATGTATTCGATATGATTTTTTTTCTTATTCATGACCTTTAAAAACATTAAAACTATCCAGCATTTAAAAATTTTATCATTCTGCGTTTTAAATCAAAATATTCGGGTCTAAAACGTAAACTAGAGGTTATGAAACAATTTTAATACTTGGTTTTATTAAATTTAAAGGAAGTGTTCGCGAAAAGTTAAAGGAGATATATAGGCTGATCCCGAATTGAATTCGATATCGATCACTACTATTTTTACTTCTATCAGTTGCCTCTATGTGGAAAAAATGGTTAAAAACAACTCATACCCATACAAATCCACGCAGCCTATACTCCCTTTCATAATTTGCGAACACCCCCTTTAGTTGGTATTGGAAATAATTAGTAGATTATTTGATTTTGATTTTTTTTATCCAGTCGGCACAGATTAATGTATTTTTTCGAATTTTCTGTGAAATGGAAATTATCTTGAATATTCTTATCACGACAAATTGAGTTGGTCCCAAAAACTAAAATAAATAATGCCGAAAACTTTTAATCCTCATTTTCTTTGCCCCCCCCCCACCCTCTCTGAATTCTTTACTTGGTCAAAAAAAAGTTAAGTTGTTAAACAGAAAACAATGGAATGACTTAATTATTTAATGTTGTTACAAAGCAAATAGTTTTTATAGATACTTATTAAATCCCTATACTTAAGCTAAATAAGCCTGTTTACACTGCACAATTACAGTGTCTAATACTCATAGGACTTAACTTGATCATAAAAGTCGTCTTACTTTTTCATAAATTTCAGGTTATCACGGTATAGTATAATCACCAATTAAAATTGAAATTAAAATGTTGTGAAAAATACAAGATATTGTTTTATTTCCCAATTTGCAATTTAAAACACTTTCAATTGCAAGATCTGTGCAAATTTTTAGACAAATAATAGCACAGTGTAGAATCTTTGCCAATTTTATCCTGAATTGGCAAACTGTTCAGTCCTTAGACTAATTAAATAAATGGGTTAAAAACTAATTTATAGAACGCAATAAAATATTGTTTCTATATTGAGAAGGTTGCTTAGTATATTATAATATTATATTTCTGCGTTGTAAGCAGGATTGAGTATTAATTATAGTTTTTTTTTATTCTTGAATGAATTGTGAAGGAAGCATTATAAATACCATAGACTTTTTGTTTAACTGCGTAATATAATAGCCGAAAAGAAAAAAAGAAATATAATTTAGTTTTTAGAAAAGCGTCTAATATATTTTTTTTAATTTAACATCATGTCAATATCATGATTCTATGAGAGAAAAAGAAAAGTTCAACAAACAAATTACAAAATTTTCTCAAATTACAAAAAACACATAAAACTTTGTTATTTTTTTTGCAAAACAGACGTATTAATTTCAGAAAAGAAATTTTTCCGTCTATTCAATTTCATGATAAATCTAAAGTAAAAAAATAATGTAAAAAAATATGTCCCATGTTGCTTTTATTACTTTTCTGTTTGGCAATAAATTGTGAATTTTCTTATATATATTAAATGGATTTTCTTATCGACACTTTCATCCTCAGAGTATTATCTATGCTTTCATATATCTTAATAAATTTTAATTAATTTAAAAAATATTGTTTTTACAACATACGACTTAGACTGTAAAAAATTCAATTTAATTTCAAACAAATCATTCAGATATTAAAACCTATAGTCATCGAATATCTTTCGCCACATTTATATATATAGTTGATTTCATCCTCAGAGTATTATCTATGCTTTCATATATCTTAATAAATTTTAATTAATTTAAAAAATATTGTTTTTTGAAAAATGAACTTAACCCTAAACAGGCTAGGGGGGCGTTTGGCGCCCCTCCCCCTGTAATTTTGTTTGTCATTTTGTGACTTTTAATGAATAGTAAATTAAAGGATTCTTTTTAAAAGAATATTTTTTTTAAATTTTTAGGGTAGGGTACAGGGTGTAAAAAAGTCCGGGCTGTGAAAAAATCTGAAATAGCCCATAACTTTTTAGTGACTAAAGCTACAGATCTAAAAACTATATTTTTGAAAAGTCCTTGAGAAATAAATGCATGTAAATACATTTAAATCAGCACTAATCCAGGTACAACTAAATCCCTCTCGTTAGTACACGAGGCATAAGAATTTGCTACGGTATTTATTACACTTTGAGGGGTTAAATGGTTGATTATTTTTTTACAGCTGCAAGGATTTGGATTCTAACAACGGAGACTACAGTGTTCCATCAGAGATGTTAACGCTCGGTGTTATGCTTCCTCCAACATATCATGTGGACACGTGGAACCTCGTGGATGTAGGTCAACTTGGACCAGCTGTCAGGTATATCTTGTAGGTCATTAATACAACACATATATATTAAAATAGGCTATAGTTTTATAGTTAGGGCTAGTAATTTTTTTTAAAACGATTGAAAAAACGATTTTCTTGAAACGATAGTTCGTTTTTGAAAAAATACAATCGTTTTGGAAAATGAACTACTCGTTTTGAACGATCGTATTTTTAATAAAACTTCGCTAATAAATCTGAGTTTTATAACAATTAATTTCAATTTTTTTTCATAAAGATAAGGTTTTGAAGGTTGTTTTAAATTTTTTTTAAAGAAAAAAATAACCTAAATGTTTTCTGACCTCGGGTTTTCCGACCAATAAATGTGTTTCCTCTAATAAAGGTTGTTAACAAAGGGTCGTCGTTAACGACCATTAATGCGGGGTTTTCTTTAACGGTCATTAACAAAAGTTCATCGTTGACGGTTGTTCTTGAAAAGTCGTTTTCGCAAACAATAGATTTTTAAAAAACAATCAGATTTTTTTTAAACGAAAAATGATAGTTTTTGAAAATGTCCATTTTTTAAAAACGATATTTTATAAAAAACGTTTGTTTCGTTTTTCGTTCTTTCTTCGTCCTTTTAAAAACGAACCGAACGTGTTTCAAAACAGTCAAAACGATCCAGTCTTAATTATATTTTGATAATAATTATAAACAAGTTCTTCTTGTTTTAGTTTGGGTTGGTTTATACCAAGTGAGATTGCTGAGAGGAAAGATCAAGTTTGGGATCATTGGAGAACATTTACATCCAGGGATCAATTAATCCATCAATAAATCAGTTATCTATTAGATCCATTAATCAATCAATTATTCATTAGATCCATTATTACTCAATTAATAAAGCAATCAACTATTCAATCAATTACTTATTAGATATATTATTAATTAAACAACTAATCAACTATTTGATTTTAATCATTATTAATTATTAACCTGTTAATCAATTAATTTATTAATCAATTGATCTATTTATAAATAAATCAATCAATTTCAAACTCAATCAAACAATCAATAATCTATTGTTAATCCATTGTTAAAAATCAATCAATTATTTGATTATACTAAGGAGTTTTTTAAAAATCTATCAATCAATTTGTCTATTAATCAATTATCTCTTAAATTATCAATTATTTTTCTTGATTTATTTTTAGATACAAGAGTGTTAATAACTTTTTTAATTTGTAAAGGAAAAAAAAACATGTATTTTTTGAATCACAATGTTTTTTTTCAAACAGTACTTTTGTAGAGTGACAAATCAAATTCACAAAAGTATTCTAATATTTTGTTAGATGAAGGGGATGAAGGACTTATTTTAGTTTTTCCTTCTGAAAATTGATTATTTTCCATGATGGTTTTCTATAAATTTAATTTGCAGAATAATGAAGGAAATGTCCAGAATTTTATACATTTCAAGATAGAAAACCAACTTCCTCATTGTCACTCAGATAAAGTTTTACGGGTACTGTTGTGAACTGGACATCTGTTTTTAAATGAATAGTTCTTTTAAAATACGTGTACAGTCTCTTTAATTTTTTATTCAGTAAATAATATAACATTGTCAGCAAAAAGAAACTTTAAAACTTTTATATGTAAAAACTTTCTGGTTTCTGGTTTCTGGTTTCTGGTTTCTGGTTTCTGGTTTCTGGTTTCTGGGTTCTGGTTTCTGGTTTCTGGTTTCTGGTTTCTTTTTGATTTTATTCTGGGTGTAGAAAACACAGAGTAAATGCTTTTTCTGAAATGAATAATAAACACAAAATTTTGGAATTGAGAGGGAAAAAAACAGAGTTAATGTGAAATGAATAATAGACACAAAATTGAGATTAACAGTAAGGGAATGCAGGGGGAAACATTGAACAATGAATATACAGTGAGAACTAAAAAAATCTGAATTTAAAATCTAATTAAAGGGAGTGTTCGCGAAAAATGAAAGGGGGTATAGGCTTAATGCGATAAAAAAGCGCTTTTGATCGCTACTAATCTTACTTCTATCTGTTGCGTCTATAAGGAGAAAATTGTTAAAGACGTCTCATACCGAATAACATGGCGTCCATACAAATTGAGAAAATTGCAACATACGACTTAGACTGTAAAAAATTCAATTTAATTTCAAACAAATCATTCAGATATTAAAACCTATAGTCATCGAATATCTTTCGCCACATTTATATATATAGTTGATTTTTCATAATATGTTTTAATTGTTATGATCTGAGAGTTATTTTTAAAAACATTTATTCCTGTTTCGAGGTAATGAAGACGACATTTTCATATTTTCCAGTTGTAAGCTAAATATTATTTTAAAAAACAAAATCAAAACTAGTATAAAATATCAAATATAGACAAATGTGGCGAAAGATAATCGATGACTATAGGTTGTAATATCTGAATGATTTGTTTGATATTAATTTGATTTTTTTACGGTCTAAGTCGTATGTTCTAACTTCCTCAATTTGTATGGGCGCTACGCTCTTCGGTATGAGACGTCTTTATCAATTTTCTCCTTATAGACGCAACAGGTTAACAAGCATAACTTAACAGTTTTGTTCTTTAAAGGAGATTTTTCTTGTCTTGGCTCTCTATATTGCTTCTGTTATCAATATTTTTACAATACTACTAGGTTGACTTTAAAGTGACACAACGCCTTGCCTTCTAATTCACATATACTATTTTATAGCCCTTAAAATGTAAATTTAAGAACTTTTTAAATTTAGTTTTGAAAAGCAATTGATAAAATTTTAATAGATTTTTGCATGAGGGCTTGCAAATTTGTATCGCTGTGCTGTCTATTATCAATATCGATGAAATATTTAGCTTTGTCTATTGTTCATAATATTCTACAAGTGTACCAAAGTTTATAAAGAACAAGTTTAGATATTCTCCATACAATATCGTTGTTATAGAACAATATGTAGTAAAACCATTGTGTTTTAAAATAGAGGCATGCCCTTAAAGTTTCATTGAATGTATGATGCAGCCTGCACATGTATTTTTTGCATTTCAAGTTTTAAACATTTTATTTAGGAGTTAACACAATTATCTCACAGTGTTATGCACTATAGTTTCAGTAGAAGTAAATATTTCCATTTACTGTTGTAGCGCTGATATAAGGATTTATCTCTAAATAGATAATGAGATAGATAGAAAGATAGATGTTATCGCCATGCAATTTCTATTGGTTCAGAGGAGACACCAAACACATGACTGAAACCTGATTGGATCAGGCGCTAATGGACTCCACATACTAGAGTGTCATGGAAAAGTATGAGATCAAGATATATTCCAGAGAAAATCTTAATTGAAATATTAAACCACCTTTTGAATGCACTTTTATAAATTGCGTTCTGATTTTCTAATCTTCTTTGCTTTCTTGATTGGGAATTATGGTTAAAATTAATAAATTTGTAAGAAAAATGATCACATATAAAATTAAAATGATAATAATAATAATGATAATGACAATGATAATAATAATAATGATAATGACAATGATAATAATAATAATATTAATAATATATGTTGGCTAAATGTAATTAGGACAAATATATTTGATTAATACATTATTTGATTGATTGATCTGTTTAGATCAAATACAGCTCTCCTTAAGCTGAGCTCAAATCTAATTGCATATATTGAGTCTAACCTCCAGGATGAAAACAACAGGTAAATACGACCTAAAGCTCTTTAAAAAATATTATCTTGAACTTAATTTCAGTCTTCTGTCTTTTAATGCAGACTTGAAATGGCTTACTTGTAGTAAATTTCATACTCTTAAAAGTTTGTCCAAAACTGTATTAGTCCAGGTACAACTCGTCCAATATCAAAGTCAACAAGAACACAATTCACACAGTTACAATCCCGCAAACTATCAATGACACTACCACTGTGCGCGACCAACCAGTCCAGGCTCTAAATGCCACACAGGGACACAAGTGTAGCTATGAAACAAGCTATATATCGATCTCAAATGATCGGGACGCTCTAGTACTCTAAATGTCACACAGCCTTTGCTATCGAACAAGCTATATATCCATCCCAAATGATGGGGACGATTCAGGGCTCTAAATGCCTTACAGGGACACAAGCCTAGCAGTAGTGTATTTTGGGCCCTTTCAGCTAAAATAATAACAATATACACTTTGTTGATTTACTACAATAAAACCCTGTTTTTCTTATATAACATGGGGGTGTTTTCATTTTCGGGATTCTTATCTTTTTTCTCTCCGGGGACAAAAATCACATACCAAGTAACCAACCTCTAACTTTGTCAGAATTTTTGTCTGGAAAAGTGTAGAATTTTCAGGCAGAAATAGAGACCAAAAATTGTTTAATATTTTTATGTTATAAAAAATGTAAAAAAGTGTTGGTTGAACTAAACTTTTTTGAAGGTAGTTATCAGGATATCAGAACAGTTTGGGAGGGGTGGTGGAGGTCGGTGCCTGGGTCCTCAATGTGTAGAGAAAAATCAATACCAGGATAGCAGAACAGGAGGGAGGACGGAGACTGGATTAATCAGAGCCGGGGGACTCAACAACGAAAAGAAGAGTATTAAAATGGTTGACAGAGCGTGAAAAAACTTGATTTTTTTAGAAAGTAAAACATTGTTTAGAAAGAACATTTTTCGTTTGAACTTTTAAGGGAAGGTTTTTTTGTTCGGGATCTCTTTACAATATAAAACAATTTCCAGTCTCAATATCAGGTTGAAAAAGGTTACTTTTGTCGGAATCACTAGAAAAATAAGGATTTAGAGACGGGGAAAACAACTAGGACTGGAAACTTATTAGCATAGTAAGTCGTTCCAGTAAAATCAAAACTAGGAGCTACGAGGACACAAAGTCGTACCAGTAAAATCAAAATTAGGAGCTACGAGGTCACAAAGTCATACCAGTAAAATCAAAAACTAGGAGCTACGAGGACACAAAGTCCTTCCAGTAAAATCAAAACTAGGAGCTACGAGGTCACAAAGTCATACCAGTAAAATCAAAATTAGGAGCTACGAGGTCAAAAAGTTTTACCAGTAAAATCAAAACTAGGAGCTATGAGGTCATAAAGTTGTACCAGTAAAATCAAAAATAGGAGCTATGAGGTCACAAAGTCGTACCAGTAAAATCAAAACTAAGAGCTACGAGGACACAAAGTCGTACCAGTAAAATAAAAAATGGAGGAGTTACAAGAACACAAAGTCATAGCAGTAAAATCAAAACTGGAGGAGCTACTAGGTCACAAAGTCATACAAGTAAAATAAAAATTAGGAGCTACGAGGACACAAAGTCGTACTAGTAAAATTAAAACTGGAGGAACTTCGAGGTCACAAAGTCGTATTAATAAAATAAAAACTGACAGAGCTATGAGGTCACAAAGCCGTACCAGTAAAATCAAAACTGGGGGAGCTACGAGGTCACAAAGTCGTACCAGTAAAATCAAAACTGGGAGAGCTACGAGGTCACAAAGTCGTACCAGAATGGTAAAAATATGTTTTAATTATTTTCAAATATTTCAGCCTTATTCTTGTTCTTTGTTAAAATATACCAAGCTCTTTTCAATCTATATTCAGGCCTAGCTAAACTATATATAAAAAGCTATATAATCTTTGTATTTTGCAATTTGCAACTGCTCGTTGGATGTAAATGAAGTATGAAATAACAATAAACCTTGTAAGTAAACTTTGAGCCTCTCTCACTGAGATAGAAAAATATAGATTCAGAAAGCAATCCTCAGAAAAGATAATTTAAAAGTATAAAGAAACATAGTACCGTATTTTCGGTACATAATGGCGAGTTATACTATATGAACAAATAGATTATAAAAATTACATTTTATTATTAGTTAAATCTTCAATAAACAATGAATTTATATTACACGTTTATAAACAGTAAAACTGTCTAAGGAGTATTAAGATCTACTTCACAAAAGTTTTCATTCACCAACACATTACTTGATAAATTTTGATTAGGACATATAAATAAACTAGTTGTGTAGATAGCGACGTCAGTTTGGGTTTCTCGATTTCTCATTCTTCTTTTAGTTTTCGTACAACAGCGGATAATAATAATGTAGATAACCAGGATAACATTTAGAACAAGCAGTAAAAAAGTAGGGTAGACAGTTAAAGCATAATGTTTAACATTCATGAGTCCAGTTTGATTAAGAGTATTATTTACATCCATATTCCTGCAAATTTACTTTATACTGAGTATATAACAGAGAAGAGTATGTATAAAAAATATAAAGATATATTCTATTAAAAAAAATATATAAATGTATAAAGCAAATGACCTTAAGATATAATCTGGTTGATCAGTATAGTTTAGGTAGCTTTGCATATTCTCGAACACTTCAGGGGCAAAAGCAAAGGTGTCATCCAATCTGGCAGATTTGTAAGGGGTGTCAACTGTAGTATTAGATTGGTTTGAATTGATTTTCTGAGTAGAATTTGTATGATTCCCTATGTCCTCGAGAAATTCAGGGGCGTAGACAACAGCAAGGGTGTCGTTCAGGAATCTATTGGACTTGACAGGGGCATCAACGGATAATTCACCATAAAGGGGGTCTGGCACACTTATATTTGATGGCTTATAGTTGAGATCAACAGGGATGGCAACAGTTGTACTTTCTGTTGAAGAGTGCTCGTCAAAATAACCGATATCAAACATATTTTTCTTCAATCGCCAGACACTAGAATAAACACCAACCAGAAATACAATGAATATCGGAGTTATTCCCATTCTTATATAGATTTTAAATATACTATTCAAGACCTGATCAGTTACTAACATAAATGTTTAAGGGTTGTTTCAAGGGTTGGTTTCAGGGTTGTTATAAGGCTTTCATTTAAATTAATATAAAAGTTTATTTTGTTAGAATAATTAAATAATATGGAAACCTTAAATTTTATTTTTTAAATTAAAAAATATGGAAACCCTGTTCAAACAATCCGATTCGTTAGCAACTTGCTGAAAGTGTAAATAATGAGTTGCAAAAAATTTTAAATTATACTCTTCTCCCCCTTATGATTAAGATAGATCATTCTTATAAAACTATCTGGAAAATGAAATTTTAATTTAGAGTTTAAATAAACGACTCTACGATATATCTATAAATCTATATGTATATTTCCTAAAACTGAATATTAGAGGATGAACATAGTAGGTAGTAATTTTTTTCAGGACTTACAGAGTATTTTGAGTAAAATAACCACGATCTCGAGTTTGGCTTGTCGCGTCGGACTATAGTAGAGAGCTCAATATTCTCCATACATTTAAAAAATGAGTTACGAAAATATTTACAACCTTCATATATTGCCCTTCAATGTTTAGATTAAGGGTTTATCTTACAGTGTATAGACCAGACTATACATTTTTATACGCACAAAAGTTTTGCTTACTATCTCACTGTCTGCTATAATCAAAAGGATGTGATATATATCTTTGTATATACACTGTAATAAAACATCACTGATATATACAAATTTGGCTTGTCTATCTGTTTGTTTGTTTGTATCCAATCAGAGGCGCAACTAGGGGGGGGAGGAAGAATACAGAAAAGTATAGTAGAGTGATTGAAGAGATGAAAATAACGAAGTAGACCGTACCACTTTACAAGAGCTAAGAAAAATCGGGAGAATAATCCCTGGTATAGTCCTTCGAGGGACTTTATCCCGAGTGAGTTCAGTTTATCAACAGGGGTGGAGGCGGTAGATAATTTAGATAATTTTTCCAATTCCAGGAAGAAAGCAGCTTAGGCTGACATGCTGACAACAAAAAAGAGACTAAATTCCAATATAAACAAATAATGTACTGCATCTATAATACCTAATATTTTCAGGGCCATATATTGCAAAAATTTCTATTACTTCGTTAAATATTTGAAAATTCTCATTTTTAACAATTAAGAAAATTCACTTGTATATGAAGTATAGATTGACCCCCCCTCTCTGCAGGTGGAAACCCCGCTGTATACATAAGGGGTGATTATTCAGATTAAAGGGAGTGACCATTAACACAATCCAAGGGGTATATATTCAAAAGTAAGGGGTAAATTAAATTTAAAGTCAAATTTTTTTTCAGCTGCAGAGATGAATACAGAAAGTCGATTTTTCAAGCTTTGAGAGCCAAGGTTTTTTTTTTCCCAATGAGTACAGGGACAGAGATAGTATGGAGCGATATATTGGATCTAGTGGTGAGATAAGATTTTCTTTCATTGCAGGAGAAGGGGGTGGGGGGTACTCGGTACTAAAGCCTTACCCGTCTCTGGGTAAGCCGACGGTTGGATACCGCTACGCGGAGAAGGAGCAACGGAGCCTCCACTCTGCAGAAGTGATAGCAGGGTGGTTTGAACCCTTCCGGTTGAATGGCTTCTCTGTAATCCCTGTATAAAGCTGTTTAGTTTAGGGAGGGAAAAGAATATTCATTTCCGATTAAGCCCGGAAACCCGCCAGTGTAAACCAAACTATAGGTTTTAAAAGGGGCGTAAATAAGAATTCTGAAGGGGGGGGGGATGATTTGCCTTTTCTGACACTTCATTTCACCTTGTTCAATACAAAAACGGAATTTATTTTAAAAGGAGGTAAAAACCTTTAGAAAAGCTACTTGAAAAAATTCAGTCGTATTTCTAAAATTTTTTCTGGTAGAATCGAGCCAAGGCGATTTGCCACAAACTCAAATTTTCTAATCCCTATTGATAGTGTAAACCGTTGCAACGACCTGGTTCTCGCCGGAAGGCAAGAGCGGGGCCATCAGGGATCGGGAGGAGCGGGACTGTGAGCCTGGCAGAGGGCGGAACAACAACTGGGAGGGTTTTGGACCTCCTCTACTTGGTCCTAGAGGGTCGCCGCGCAAAAACCGGGTCTGTCGATCGGGACGAGCGGGGGGGCAATG